CTTTGCAGCACTATTCTTAGCCAAGAATTGGAAACAACCTAAAGTCTATTGACCAATGAATGGATTAAAAAATGTATATACACACAGTGGAATATTATTCAGCTTTACAAAAGGAAATCCTGGAATATGCAACAACATAGTAAACTTGAGGACATTATGCTAAGAGAATAAGCCAATCCCAGAAGGATAAATACTCCATGACTCCACTTATATGAGGTATCTAAAATAATCAGACTTATAGCAGCAGAGAGCAGAATGCTGGTTGCTGGGAAGGGGAAGTTGTTAATCAATGGATGTAACATTTCAATTACGCCAGATGAATTCTAGAGCTCTGCTGTGCAGTATTGTGCCTGTAGATGACAATACTGCATTGTGCACCTAAAAATCTGTTGAGTGTAACTCATGTTAAGTGTTCTTGCCACAGTAAAACAATGTTAATGCATACATAATGAAAATTATTTTTTAAATCTTGTCAAAGAGAGGGAAGGAAGGAAGACAGAAAGGAAGGCAGGCAGGCCTCTATGAGAAATGTGGTTGCCTGGTCAGTCTCCAGCTGCTGTTTTGTTTTCGGGAGTGGGGTGGGTAATGGAGTCTTGCTCTGTTACCCAGGCTGGAGTGCAGTGGCGCAATCTCGGCTCACTGCAACCTCCGCCTCCCAGGTTCAATCGGTTCTCCTGCCTGGGCCTCCCGAGTAGCTGGGCTTACAGGTGCACACCACCATGTCCAGCTAATTTTTTTTTTTTTTGAGACAGAATCTTGCTGTTGCCCAGGCTGAAGTGCAGTGGCGTGATCTCGACTCACTGCAACCTCCATCTCCGGGGTTCAAGTTATTCTCCTGCCTCAGCCTCCCGAGTAGCTGAAACTACAGGTGCAAGCCACCACACCCAGCTAGTTTTTGTATTTTTAATAGAGACAGGGTTTTACTATGTTGGCTAGGCTGGTCTCGAACTCCTGACCTCAGGTGATCTGCCTGCCTAGGCCTCCCAAAGTGCTGGGATTATAGACATGAGCTACTGTGCCCGGCCATGCCCAGTTAACTTTTTGTGTTTTTAGTAGAGATAGGGTTTTACCATGTTGGCCAGGCTGGTTTCAAACTCCTGACATCAAGTGATCTGTCTGCCTTGGCCTCCCAAAGTGCTGGATTACAGTTGTGAGCCACCGTGCGCGACCAGCTGCCGTGTTTGGATCCACCTCAGTTCTCACACTGAGGCCACTTTCTGGTTTACTCCCACTCAGTGACTACACGCAGTAGGAAGGAGTACTAAGTCTGAGGTACATAATACAGTCGCTGATTTAGTAAATGCATTTTTTCCCCCATCTGTCTCAGGAAAAAGACTAGAAATGGTTTGCATCCACTTGGGACAGACAATATTTACTTAGTTTTGCCCCAAGAATAATGCTTGCTCCATTGATGATAAAATGTGAATTAGAGGCTGTTATAGTTTGCATATTCGTCCCCACCCAAATCTCATGTTGAATTCTAATCCCCAGTGCTGAACATGGGGTCTGGCCAGAGGTGTTTGGATCACGGGGGCAGATCCCTTATAGCTTGATGCTGTCTTTTGAGTTCGCTTGCGATCTAGTCATTTAAAAGTGCGTGGCATCTGCCCCCGACCTTGCTACTGCTTTCACCATGTGATGTGTCTGCTTCCCCTTTGTCTTCGGTGATGATTGGAAGTTTGCTGAGGCCTCCCCAGAAGCACATGCTGCTATGCTTCCTGCACAGCCTGCAGAACCACCAGCCAATTAAACCCTGTTCTTATAAATTACCCAATCTCAGGTATTTCTGTATAGCAATCTAAAAAAAACATTGGCACCAGGAGTGCGGAATTACCATAAAGATACCTGAAAAGGCCGGGCGCGGTGGCTCAAGCCTGTAATCCCAGCACTTTGGGAGGCCGAGGTGGGTGGATCATGAGGTCAAGAGATCGAGACCATCCTGGTCAACATGGTGAAACCCCGTCTCTACTAAAAATACAAAAAATCAGCTGGGCATGGTGGTGCGTGCCTGTAATCCCAGCTACTCAGGAGGCTGAGGCAGGAGAATTGCCTGAACCCAGGAGGCGGAGGTTGCGGTGAGCCGAGATCGCGCCATTGCACTCCAGCCTGGGTAACATGAGTGAAACTCCGTCTCAAAAAAAAAAAAAAAAAAAAAAAAAAAAAAAACAAAAAAAAAAAAAAAAAAAAAAAAAAAAAAAAAAAAAAAAAAAAAAGATACCTGAAAATGTGGAAGTGACTTTGGAACTGGGTAACAGGCAGAGGTTGAAAGAGTTTGGAAGGCTCAGAAAAAGACAGGAAGATGAGGAAAGGTTTGAAACTTCTTCGAGACTGGATAAATGGTTGCGACCAAAATGCTGATAGTGATATGGACAGCAAGATCCAGGCTGCTGAGTCTCAGATGGAAAGGAGGAAGAGTTAGAGCTTGTATGTATGTATATGTGTATATATATATATATTTTAGACAAGAGTTTTGCTCTGTCCCCCAGGAGTACAGTGGTGCAATTTCAGCTCACTGCAACCTCTGCCTCCTGGGTTCTAGTGATTCTCCTGCCTCAGCCTCCTGAGTAGCTGGGATTACAGGTGCCTGCCACCATGTCTAGCCAATTTTTGTTTTTTCCTTTTTTTAGTAGATATGGGTTTTCACTATGTTGGTCAGGCTGGTCTCGAACTCCTGACCTCAGGTGATCCACCTACCTCAGCCTCCCAAAGTGCTGGGATTATAGGCGTGAGCCACTGCGCCTGGCTAAGGAGCTTATATTTAAAAGGGAAGCAGAGCATAAACGTTTGGAAATTTTGTAGCCTGCCCATGTGTCAAAGAAAGAAAAAGCTTCCTCAAAAGAGGAATCCAAGCAGGCTGTGGAGCTACCACCTGCTAGAGATATTTGCATAACTAAAAAGGAGCCAGTGTTAACAGTCAAGACAATGGGAAAAAGCCTTGAACACATTTCAAAGACCTATGCAGCAGCCCCTCCTACCACAGGCCCTGAGACCTAGGAGGGAAGAATGGTATCATGGGCCAGGCCCAGAGCCCCACTGCCCTGCACAGCCTTGGGACACTGCTCCCTACATCTTGGCAGCTCCAACTCCAGCCAGGGTTCAAAGGGGCACAAGCACAGCTTAAGATACCACTTTGGAGAATACAAGTTGTAAATGGCTTCCATATGGTGTTAAGCCTGAGTGCAAGAGTGGTGGGTTCTTGACAGCCTCTGCCTAGATTTCAGAGGATGCATAGCAAAGCCTGGGTGTTCAGGCAGAAACCTGCTGCAGCGGTGGGGCCCACATACAGAACCTCTACTAGGGCAGTGCGGAGGGGAAATGTGGGATTGGAGGCCCCACATGGAGTCCCTTCTGGGGCACTGTGAGCCACCATCCGTCAGACTTGTAGATGCACCTGCAGCTTGCACCCTGAGCCTGAAAAGGCCACAGGCACTCGACAACCTGTGAGGGCACCTGAGAGGGGTGGACCCTGCAAAGACACAGGCAAGGAGCTGCCCAAGGCCTTGGGAGTCGACCCCTTGCAGCAGTGTGCCCTGGACATGGAATATGGAGTCTAAGATTTAATGACTGCCCTGCTAAGTTTTGAACTTGCATGGGCTCCGTAACCCCTTTCTTTTGGCCTATTTCTCCCATTTGGAATAAAAATGTTTACCCAATGCCCATACCCCCATGTCTTCAAAGTAAATACCTTGTTTTTACAGGCTCATAGGTAGAAGGAACTCATTTCCACAAGAATTTGGATTTGAAACTTGGAACTTTTGAGTGAATGCTGGAATTAGTTAAGACTTTGGGGGACGGCTGGGAAGGCCTAACTGTACTTTGTCATCTACTCTACCCAAAGGTGTAGAGTGGATCTGTGCAGTGTTAAAGAGTGTAATGAAGTTACCATGGAGTTGTGCCACTCAGGTCTCAAAACTGGACGCAAGTAACAAACCTGGCTGACAGCCTCCAGCTGCCAGTCCTCCTGATTTGTTGAGCATTCACATGAAAACCGTTTCTCTCCAGGCTGCTCCAGACTAGCAGTCAGGCCATCTCTGCCCAATGCAGGACCACCATAATAGGTACTCTGCTCTGGGTTTCCTCATCAGGCTGGCAGACTCTCAGAACAGCTGAGGTTTGAGTTCTCTCCTCTGTCTTCGTCACAGGTGTCAGAAGCACATTGCATTCTGAAGGCCTTCCCTACCTACTGGTCCATCTCCCTTGTATCCCTATAGGCATTTCCCTCAATATGTCTCTAGCCTATCTGACTCCATCTTGGTGTCTGCCTTTTGAAGGATCCAAAGTGACACTAGCATGTATGCTTTAACAATAAATTTGTTAAATGAGAATAATTGTTTTTGTTTTTTTTTTTTTCCCAGATAGGGTCTCACTCTGTTACCCAGGATAGAGTGCAATGGCACAATCACGGCTCACTGCAGTGTCTACTTCCTGGGCTCAGATGATCCTGTCACCTCAGCCTCCCGAGTAGCTGGGACCACAAATGTCCACCACCATGCTGGGCTAATTTTTGCATTTCTGGTAGACACTGGATTTTACCACGTTGCCCAGGCTGGTCTTGAACTCCTGGGCTCAAGTGAACCACCCACCTCAGCCTCCCAGTGTTGACATTACAGCCATGAGCCACCGTGCCCGACTAAGGGTTTTCAAGCGATTCTCCTGCTTCGGCCTCCTATCTGGTATTATGCCCCCCCACAGCTGGTTTATTTTTGTATGTATACATAATATTTTAGTAGAGATGTGGTTTCGCCATGTTGGTCAGGCTGGTCTTGAACTCTTGACTTCAAGTGGTCTACTCACCTGGGCTTCCCAAAGTGCTAGTTTACAGATGTGGGCCACCATGCCCAGCACCATGTTAATTGTTTTTTTCTTTTTTCGAGACAGAGTCTCAAAATGCCCATACCCGCACTGTGTCTGTCAAGTCGATACCTGGACAAAAGTGAACTGATATAGAATGGAGTATAGAGAAACAGCTGCCAAAAGAACATGTCACACTGCATGCTATCTTATTTCCAGTGCATGGTATCTTTATTTTAGAAAACAGATTCAATCAAACAGATAAGAGTTACTGCTTTCTTGTTCTGTATATTCATATTCTCCACTTGAAAAAGCACACAGTCAAATCTATCTTCATCCATTCTGTTAGTGAGGGTAGGCAAAAAAGATCCTGGTTACTTCAAAAGAACCTAGGGGGGAAAAACACATACAACTTACTTAAATCATAGATTTTAAAAGTCTCTATAACCTGGATAAAACAAAAAGAAAATAAAGACAGAAAATCAACTAAGATGACAATAAAACATTCTAAATCGATTAGACTACCAAAATCCACAACCAGCTTTGTATTATCAAAGAATTTGTCTTGGTGAGCTTAGCTAACAAAGTATTTTGATTCTGACTTAGAAGACATTTAATGTTCTTACCATTAGAAAATAAAAGCTAAACCTATTACTGTTTTACAAGAGCAACCTTATTTCCCAAATTTATTTGGCTCTCCTTCAGGAAAAACTATTCTAACTCCCTGGAAATTGTTCTCTCTAGTGAGTGTGCAGTCATAATTTATAGGTCCATAATGTTTTCCACTTAATTAAGATGCTGACACCAAAACAGCCAAAAAGTTTTTCCTCTTTTTTTAATCTGCAAGTTTCGTGACTTATTTTAGACACTTTAGTTTTTTTTTTTTTT